ATATGTATATATATAGGTGTATGTATTTATATTGAAAACGCAGCCGTGAAAAACCGAGCAGGAAATTGGAGCGTTAGGCAGCAGTAAATACTTAAATAATATCGAAAAACACAAGTTTCTTAAATGAAAAATGAAAATCAGCAAAACAAAAGCTAAACTGACATTCGTATTCATTTCAAATAAAAATAATTATAAAAAAAAATTGCGCATAAATTAATATTACACTGCTGATTGATTCAGAATCCGCAGAGAAGGCATCGATATTTTATTTAGGGACGTAAATAGGTGGGTACTGCGTATGTGTGGGTTATTATTAATTATATAAAGGAATTTTGGATTAAGTTTACATATTTCTTTATATTCCGGACAACTATTTGTGAGTGCATTGTTTTGCTATATATAAAGGGCAGCCGTAAAAGTTAATATTACTCAAATTCTATTGCATATCCTATATGATATATCAGTTCTTATGCTTAAATATGAAAGACCCTCATAATTAAAATCGCTTAGCAATGCAGATATTGTTTAAAATGTTTAATATGATAATTTTATTACAAAATTATTTACCTTATTCAGGATTTGGTGTGGGACTTACAAATTTTAATTAATTTAAACATGGAAAACAACATAAATTGGCGTGAAGGGAAAATCATGGCATATGTGTCAATACTAGACGCTTGTCGTAGACACAGCAATGCAGTAGGGCCGCATCTCAAAGTGCTCGAGTCTACTTCATCTCAATGTCAAAGCCAGTGGCATTGAATACGCTTGCAACTGCAGTGGAACTAGGTCTAGTGGCCATTGTTTGGGCTGTGTATGGCCAACCATCCGAATAGCCCACCACCACCACCACCACCATCACCACCATAGCAAGCACATAACAAAAGAGGTACGCCACATACTATACGATACGGCATGTCATATGGCATATACAATTGCTTATATGTACATATATCTAAATATGAAAATCTAGGCAAATTGGCAGACAGCAGCACAAAGTAGAGAAGCCAAAAGGCCTAACGATTTATTTGCAAAACGTCGGTAGGTCTTGAGACAACCAAATATTGGGAAATGACGCTGCAATTGCAAATTGAGAAGTTGAAAGGCTTGGATAATTACAAAGCGTGGTCGATGACAGTGCGTGCGTATTTGGAGTCCGAAGATCTATGGACGGTTGTTGAGAATGGACCGGAGAACAATGAAGAGGTAGCTATTTGTCCAATATTCCATTTAGAGCTCTCATTTATTGCCCCAGTTAATCAATTGCAGTCACTGCTGAAGGATAAACGAGCCAAATTCCTGATACTCTGCTTGATAGAAACGAAGCTGTGTCAGTTTATGGTCAGCATACGCACGGCCCGAGACCTTTGGAATTATTTGCGCACTCAGCATTCACTTCGTTAGGGCGTCCAGATTTTCTGTGCGAAATCGAGAAAAGAAACCAATAAAAATATGACATAAATATTGGCCCCAGCACTGTTTACCTCGCCTTATTGGGGCAGCTCTATTATCACGGGTTGTTCTTCCGGATCCTCGTCGAGTAAGCCCTCAAAATGCCAGTTTAGCTGCTTGGCCAGTCTTTTCATAAGGCGTTCAGCGTTTACCATGAGACCACCAGCATGGAGATTTACTAGCAGCTCGCGAACATCTTTGTAGACTGTGTTGTGCATGGTAGGCGCCATCAGCTCCTCTGGCAGATGCGGTAGTTGATAGGCCAGCACTTCGCTATATTTCATAAAGGCTAGTTTGTATTTGCTAACAGCCGTCTCCGAGTGTGCCAGCAAGGCAAGCACCTTCCGCCAGTGGTCCAAAGATTCTATTGAATAGCCAACTAAAAAGAACACAAACGCCAGCTGTACCTCCTCAATTAGTGCATCGGAATTTTGTTCAAACTTTTCGAACAGTATGTCCACAGCTGCTATGCAGTCTATCGCATGTCGCGAAACATCCGCTGGAGGTGAATTCTGTGGAACACGAGTGGGCACAGCACAGAAACGTGGCGCAGTGCCCTGTACGGGCTTCAGGTAAGGCAGCATCTCACTCTCATCCAGCAGTAACTTGGCAGCTGTATTCCGTTTGCTTATGTTGTCCGCTCCACCACGTGGCCTGTCAGCATCCGTACAGGACTCTAGCTCAATGTTAGTACGAATTGTTCCCAATTCTGGGCGGCAGCGATTTACGCACGCCTCTGTAACACTGCCAGTTAGATCTTTCCACTTACACACATAGCGATAGTCGTATGGGGCCAGAACGCGCTCAAGTTGTGCTAAGTTCTTTCTTATACGGGTACGCTCTAGCTCCGGATCTGCTGTCTGACGTGGTCGCAGCTCCTCCAATTCATTATCCCATTCACGCACAAGAATCTCATTAGGATGAAAGAAATGGACGAAGCCTACACGAGGCGCAGCGTCGCCATACGGACCGCGGGATGCGCACCACACATAATGCACACCTGGCGGTATCATTTTAACGCCACGAAAATCTGGACCAATGGTATACGAGCATAAGTCAATGCCAAACTCTGTGCCCACAGGAACGCCGGCTATGACCAAAACGGCGCCATCTGCTAGCAGGCGCAATGCTAATTCTGGATCCATTTGCATGCTGGAATTGTCCTTATTCATTGTGAATGTGTATACTTGCTTATTTATTACTGTAATTCAAATATGAAGACAACTAGTTTCTCGTTCTGAAGATATCTAAGTAATCGTTTACATTCATATGTTCGTTTTGGAACATGTTCAGTGGAACTACTATTTGGTTTTTTGTTTGTAGTTTAATTTTTGTCTACTTTTTACAAACACATTGCAGAAATGTAAAATGCACTAATATCACATCAAATTTAAGTTAAATATATATGTATATATATTTTTTAAAGATAAAATATGAATGTTGCAACTTGCAAGCACGCTCGATATGCTCCGTATTAATCGATAGTTTGCCAATTTTTGATCGATTTAACAAGTCTAATGAAATTTGAGTCCGATAGAAAAGTTTTGATAAAGACGTTTGCTTGCTGTCGTCGAAGCGATCTTTATTATATTTGTTTTCAGGCAGTTTTACATAGGTTGCTATTTTCATATTTTGCTGATAGAGAATAATCTTAATCTGAAAACGTTTGTTAAATTAGCTAAAAATCCCACATAATTTGTTTACGATAATAATTTTCAGGATAATTACTGTGAGCTTAGTAAATATGCTGAAAATGTTCTAAATAAATAAATTTGTTTCGTGAAATGCAAACAAGGTATAAATATTTGTAAGCTTAAAACGAATATATATTAGTTGATTTATTTACTACAAAATTAAGCAATTAGTACTGTAAACTGCGCTTAGTGCCTATATCGTCAAGTATCTGGCGCAGTTCCTCGTCTTCAAAGCGACCCTCCAAAGAAGGTATTAAAGCCTTAGCCTCTTCCGGCGCCTCCGGGCAGAGATTGCCCAGAGCGGCAAGTTCGAATTTGTGCAGTTTCTTTTGCATAAGTAAACTAGAAAAAACAAAATTGAATCAGAAGTTATGCTTATTGTAATGAGAGGCATTTTGTGTTTACCTGCGTACGGACATAATGGTCTCTTTATTCTTGAATTTGCGAAAACTGTCTGTGTAGGCGTAGGTTTTCATGAAGACCTCTGAAAATTCCTGCTCTTCGTCTGCGGATTCATTTTGCCGTTTGCGATGATCCAGTAACATGTGCACCTCCGATATGAGCAGTGTTTCAGCATTCTCGAACTCTGGAAGACAACAACATGCGGTATATGAGAATAAATTATATTGCGAAATATTTCAGTTCTCTTTGCAATTTACAAGTGAGATGCAAGTGAATATAATGCTACAAGTTTAGCCAAAAGTATGAGGTCGAATGTGGCCATTTTCCACCAAGAAATCATAAATCTGACGCGTTTTGTTAACATCGATCTTAATAAGTCGCCGTGCATCGCCCAGCCTTAGATGCCCCAGCTTGGCTTGCTCTGCAATAAGCTGATTTTTGTGCTCCAAATAGGCCTGTGGTATTAGACGCGCCACGCTACAAAGTGTACGTTCTCCTGCATCTAGCTTAGAGTATCCTGGCAGATCTGAAAAGAAAAATGTTGTTGTCAGTGGATAGGTTTATGATAGTTAATAATAAGCTTAATATTATACATGGCCAAAAGGTATATAATCATGCATACATTCACTATACAAATGAATTTCTTATACATATATTTATTTTTACTGAATATCTATCAATATATGAATATGTCAACATATTTGAATTGATTACCCGAAATATCCATTGGACTAGCCTTCCGACGCGGACAATGCATATACACTCTGGAGCTACTGCCTTGAGGCAGCTGGTCAACATTCTGGTTATTTTCGAAGTGGTGCACCAATTGCTGCCAGTCGTAAGCATCGTTTTGCCGTTGCCGTGCATAATCCCGCTGAGCCTGCTGGCGCTGCTTGTAAAGGCGCGTATAAAGTGCGCCGCCGTAGAGAGTGCGCACGCCATGCTGCCGTATATCGTAGAGCCAGTGGAGTCGATTTTGTAATTGGCGATAATTGCGCAACGACTCCACCAGCAGATCGAACTGAAAGGGTTTGCAAACTTGCATGAGGGCAAGGAAGCGCATGCAGCTGACATCGCTACGAAAAGCGCTCACATATTTGGTTATCCAGCTGACAGTGCGATTTGGCAGAATGAGACCATGGTCACGCATAATTTTGTAGCGTCGCTGGCGTTCTCTAAAAGTACATTGGCATTGGCTAGTAATTAGGGCAGGTTTCAGTAAATGGAGCTGCTTCAAAATTACCTCAGACGATTGTTGTAAGCACGGACTAGTCCACACTGCAGTTCCTCCACTAACTGCTGATCTGGTGAGTCATTCTCAAGTGAGTCATCATCAGCGTTTGCTCTTTGCTGTTCGATCATCACTGAAAGCAGACCCTCAGCAGAGGAATCGTAGGGCGTGTCGAAATCTCCGCGTGCGCATCGATATCCTGCATTGATTTTAAACTGAATCGACGATATGTCATCATGCCGAGGCGGCTCCAGGGATCGCATTTTGAATACATACGGCATCCGCTCGGGCAGGTAACAATTTCGTGCATGCTGCAACCCGAGCAACCGTTCAAAGATGCCCCCGAAGTAGCAATCGTGATAGTGTCGTCGTACCTCCTCTGGTGAGAAACGTCGTTCAAGTGCATTGGCTATGGCATCCCAGTTGCCATAGCCATTTTTGTGTAAAGCTTGCAGCAGTGCACGCTCGTCTCGTGCTACCCAACCAGAATCGTTTGCAAACACCTGAATATCATCTCGTACTATAATGTAGGCGTGGCTGTTGCGATGACTCCCGATTTCGCGACCTCGTGAAAAGCACTGCAAGCATATTAGGACGTCCAGGCATTCGGCACACTTGATATATGGCTCTGCGAGGCAACAGCGACACATTGCACATAGAGTAGAGCCCGAGTGCTCGGCTTCGCTATCCTTATTCTCAGCTCTGTCTACATTTTCACCGAGCTGATTGTGGAATGCAAGGTGATTATAATGAATCGTTACACGCTTCGTTTGACTATCAGCGCGGGCACGAGCAAACCTGACAGATGAGCGCATGACCTCATGACTGTTAGCTTTCTCTGTAAAGAAGTAATTTAATGTTTGCTATGGTGTACATGGCGCGCCATGTGGACCCCGTGGCACTTGGTTTGCATCACTTGTAAGTTGCTAGTTGGGCTGCTGACCCGTTTGTTTTTGTTACCTTTTGGAAACTGCAGGTCTGCTGCATCCTCATCGACCATGTCCACTGGGTTCATAAACGACATGTTGGTTCAACTTTATTTATAGGCTGATATATAAGATTTAAAAATTATTTGCGAAGTTCGATTTGTTTTCACGCAATGCCGCTTTTTTACTAGTACTAGGGCTGCAAAAACAGACGCCTGCGATTGTAGCGTCTTGCAACACTGCTACTAGTTAGGGCTGCCAAATATTTTCTAGAGTCACTGCGCCCATAAAGTACCCGTGATATGCGAGAACGATTTTACGTTATACAGCACTGTCAATATTTAGCGGCATGCATTTCTGGTGTTATTCATATATTGAAGCAGCAAACGGTTCTGAAGTTCTTGTATTCGCTGTTGGAAAGTGATGAGCGACGTTGAGGTTGCGCCGCCCATAAACGATCCAGCAGAAAACCTTCCCAAATACTGTGACTTCTTCAAATATTTGCTTGTTGAGGAGCTGGTGCTGGAACCCGATTACCGACAGATCCATTACGGAAAGTGTGCCGTCATTGGACGCCTTTGTGCCATTCCGGATAATTTTAAACTGGAAAACGTGTCGATACCACACCTGCCAAGGTAACTACCTGTATATGCTTTAACACATGCTTGTACTCATCCTTCACCACTATTTCACAGTGTATACAAGCTGCCTACTGGCGCTGTGTCCCTGCTCCTACTGAACTTCAGCTACGAGAACAGCTGCACAGGAAGTCTGGCTAACGGAGCGTACTGTATTATGCGTGGCGAGATTGTGCTATGCAACGTGCAAAAGCCGAATAGCCCCACTTTGACCACACGGGGTTTACACGAGCAATTGCTCCGATTGGACGACAGCGGCAAAGAGAGGTCCACGTTATTAGAGAACGTGCAGAAAACTCACAAGCCTGCGCTGTACGTATGGCACTCAAGTCGGATTAACCAGGCCGAGGAGTTAATTCAACGTCGACTTGAGATTCGTGTGCTGTGCAAATAGACAGATATCAAGAAGAGCCAATGAAATGCATTCTCATTTTCTGACCACGTCACGAAGCAATCCTCAATTTTATACATTCTCTCAAGTGTTTGACCGGCAATCGGCAAACTTGGATCCTCTGTGGAAAGAGGAGTTACAGCAATCGGCTTGGCTCAGTTTCTGGGAACGCGAAGGCTACGAGTTTCTGGAGGAGAAGTGGCACAAACAATATCCGGAATATAAGGAGGCAATCGAGTTAGCCACTGCCGAGGAACAAGCAGCTTGGCAAGAGTTGTGGATAAAACACGCCCACGATCAACGCGCACATTTTTGGCACATCTTTTCATGTGTCTTGGAGAATTACGAACGGGACTTGCATAATGGTTTGCAAGATGTTGGTCAAATCTTGAGCGATATAGACGATCAGTTTTCGTATTTAGAAATACATCAAACCGACGCCAGTACAGCAAGTACTGAATGCAGCGAGGCGGATCAGGAATACCTAAACAATAACGACGATCAAGAGTCTCTTGGCGAGGAGCAGCAGCTAAAACTGCTCGGATTACCCACATCATTTGGTGCAAGGAGTACAAACGACCGACGAAAGCCAAAGCAGCAACTACCAAGTGAATCTGAGAGTGAGAGCGACTCCAATCGTTTAAGCATGTCCAATCAAAAGGATGAAATTCAGCTTGACGTCAAGTCGCGAGCAATTAAGAAAACAAAGCGACAAAAAAACTCAAAAATCCCCCAATTCATGCGAGATGATAACCTTTTGCTTAAGTATTGGTTCAAGCGCTTCTCGCTTTTTTCACGCTTTGATCAGGGCATTCTCTTGGATCGCGAAAGCTGGTTCTCAGTGACTCCAGAGAAGATTGCCAAGCAGACGGCTAGACGTCTCGCCAGCGACGTCATTGTGGATGCATTTTGCGGCTGTGGCGGCAATGCCATACAATTCGCCAACACCTGTGGCCGCGTGATTGCCATCGACATTGACTTAAAGAAATTGGCAATGGCCAGACAGAATGCGGCTATTTATGGTGTGGCCCATAAGATTGACTTTGTGCATGCGGACTTTTTGCAGTTTGCCCGCACCACACGTTTGCGACCCGATGCGATTTTTCTGAGCCCACCCTGGGGTGGACCGGACTATCAGAAACAGCAAACTTTTGATATTGAAGAGAATTTGTTGCCGCTGGGCGCGAGTCCCTTGATGGAGCATGCACGACGGCTAACGGAGAACATTGGATTCTTTTTGCCACGCAGCTCCAACATTAAGCAGGTTATTGCGCTCACGCATGCGGGTGAGCAGTGCGAGGTGGAGCACAACTATTTGGATACGCGTCTGGTAGCAATCACAGCCTACTATGGCAAGAGCTTGGTCAAGAAACAACGGCAGAAGGCTGATAAATGACTGTCAGCATAAATTTGGGGTAAATTTTAATACGTTGGATTAAATCGTGTTACATATAGCAAAAGAAGCTAATGTCGATCAGTTGTACTACTCAATTAGTAATTTCTATTTTTTTTTAATTTAATGAGTCTTAGATTTAAGTATGTAAATAGACTTTACTTACATAAATTAAGCACATTGTTCACTTTTTGTGATTAGACATAATTATAGTTTTTATACGTTGGATTAAACTGTTCGTGGCTCTTTCAAAGGTCTTAAATTCTATTGTAACCGCATTGATAACAATTTGACTGTGCGACTGCTGCGACTCTTTCTGGCAAATCCCGCTTTGTTGATGCACCATTCTGCTCGCACAACAGTTGCCAAGTCACCGGGCAGAGCGTAAGGACTTTATCCAATTTAGACAGCTTAAACATGCTGCTCTCTCTCCCTCTCTCTCTCTCCCTCTCTCTCTCTCGCTCTCTCCGTGTCCTGTGCAGCCCCGCTCAGTTTGTGTGTGGTAAGATTGCAGTGACCAGTGGTCATAACCGTAACGCCCCTCCTCTCCATTGGTCCGAATGTGACTTTTAATTAAAAACGCAAACGGAACTAAACGGGCGTCTATTTTTAAGAACTTTGTGAAACAACTCTAAGCCTGGCAACCGTGCGGGGGCAATTAACATGTTCCATGTCACAAAAGTTTCACATAAATTCCAGCGTAGACCGAACAACAACAACAAGRGCAACAGCAACAACCCTTTTCGCCGTTAACAACATACTTAGAGCATCCTTGGGTGGGGCTGTATTTGCGGAATTTACAGCTACCTAAATGGCCAAACGCTGCTCTCCCTGGATATCATCATCAGTATTTTCGCTCCTGCTCCCTAATTAGTTTGATAAACTTATCATTCAGCCGAATGTAGCTTTAGCAGTTTTAAGTGGATTATTTTGATTGAGTGAAATATTATATAGCAGGGACCATTATTTGTGATATAGTATTCTTACATTTACTCATTAACTATAACTATTACATTTTACTCATTAACTATATTGTTTTTCTTATTTGATTAACAGCCTTTTTTATTTGCAGATGAGTAAAATAAATACTTTTGGTTTATTCTTTTTTTTTTTTTTTTTAATAAAAAAATGAATTAGGATTAGATGTGATTTTTATATAACAAAAATTTATTTAATTTATATAAGTATACTTTCAGTATATTATTATTTTCAAGTATTTCTTATTTATGTTAGCATTACCTTTTAGTATTTTCTCTTATTATTTCCACTAAGTTTGTCTTTCCAGAATGTCTTCCAAATATTTCCTTTTAAAATTGCCTCTTAGTTTTTCTCTTAGTATTTCCTCTTAGTATTTGCTCTTATTTATTTCCTCTTAGTATATCTCCATATTTATATATGTATTTTCTCCAAGCGTTTCTCACAGTCTTTAATGCTCAGCTGAACGATTACTTCACATCACTTCACTTTATTGCACTGTACGATTGACCCCCACCAGCCCTGGGCGACTGAAGAAATGCTACAGCTGCTGCCCTTTATATAGGGCAACTTTCACTCAGTCACTAAGTCACGCTCAAATGTTGAGCCGGCGCCAGGTAGAGATCGTGGCTGTCGAACTTAAAGTAACCAATCAGAAGACTCTCTGCTGCCTCAAGCACTTTAGCTTCGTTCGCTTCGTAGGAATCGTTGCAGCCGAGCTCTATGTGAGCAATGGTGCTCTCTGGTGCTCAGTTTAGCTTCGCAACTTAAATATAAATATCAAATGAATACTACTACATACACATAGACAATTTAAATGATTTTCTGTAGCTCTACTTCATCCAGAGAGTCATATGGAGAGACAGACTGTGAATTAGACAGAGAGACGGACAGAGAGATATGCAGACATACATACGAACAGATATATGGACGAACAAGTATAATTAAAAGGGATACGCTCATTACTCGTTACATATATGTGTGATATGCTAAATATGTAGCATATATACATTAATATTTATAATTATTAAATAACAGAAGAAACTACTGCCTACTTCTGTTATATTGTTTTCTTAGGACTTCTACATAGTCAGCCTCAATTTCTGGCATTTAATTCCATACTATTGTTTTTTTAATTGGCTAGATCTAGCTGAAATCGGCTAAACTGGCGACACTGATTGCAGCTTGTGTTTATTTGTGCGAAGAATTATTGAAATGTCAGAGCCTCAAAGAGTTCAGGGGATCTCGTAGTCGAGCACATTTAGTACTCGACTAGACCTTTCTTACGTATTTTATTATTGTGAAATGGAATTGAACAATTCCAATATACTAAGACATTATTAATCTGATTTTTGTTGCATAGTATGTGTATATAGATTTTAGGTTTTTTTACTCGTAAATCAGCTCTAAATGAGAATTTCGGTCTGTTCCGGCTGCTCGTCATGGTTAATTAGCTGCGCGCAGAGGCTGCACCTGCACAATCGCATTTTCCACTGTCTGTGGGCTTCGTTCACGGCGTAATCGCATTTGATACTGTCAAAACTTGTAGCACAAATAAACCACCCTGGCGTTTAGGTTTGGGCAGGAGCTTAGCCCTCGTCAAGTGGCACAAATTACAGATCAAACATGCAGTCAGAGCTGCAGTTGGACTTCTCCGACGGGGTGGGATGGTACGGTGCGGGGAGAGGCGGAGCGACCATTTATCAAGACCGTTGACAATATTGCGCTTAAAATTAAATAGCGTAATAAAAGGGTGACTTAATTTGTTTTTGCCCAGGCAGGCGCCACCACTCACGATTACGGGAGATGATGAGCTGTGAACACGTGTTTGCTTTCTAATAAAATATTTGCCATATAAACAACGACGACGGACTCAAAGGAATATTGCTCTTATATCCTTGGTCTTCGCATTTTATTATTGAAATTTGTTTTTTTTTTTTTTTTATATATATATGTCAACCCCTCAGCAATTACGGTACCAGACAGTGTAGTCCTACATAGATTTAAGTAGCCGATAATGCCTCGATTGACGCGTGACGCAATTTGTTTGTCTTTTATTAACATTTACTTTTCTTTACAGCATTTCCTAACTGTGTGAACAGTACGAATCTCGTAGCGATTTTAAGCTTAAGCTCTAAAAACAATTTCATTTTCATTTGAGCTTGAGTGCTAACCAGACAAAACACTCTATCGCAATGAAATAAATTGTTTTGTTTTTTTTTTTTTTTTTTTTTTTTTTTTTTTATTTATTTATTGAACTGATATACAGTAAATAATCGTTTAATCATATGAGCTTTACATAAAATAAAATGAGTGCTCTGGTTATTTACCAATCTTAGCTGTAGAAACGCTGTATTCTGATTGAGTTAAGACATATCAGTTGAACTCTACCCATATTACCCATATTTTATATTGATATTTGGGAGATTGTAATAATAGAATAAAATAAAAATACTTCAATACACATTACGTGCATGTTTATTAATTTATTCAATAGATACTATTATAGAAGTATTAGTTCGAAACTTGTTGTATTTGTATTTTGCACACAATCTTGATACAAGCTTTGGTGTATATTTTACGTAGATCAGCTGGTGCTTAGGGTATTCCCTAGTTGGCACTATGACTAGAGATTTCTTACTTGTTTTAATAACGTAATCATATAGCTGATATATATTTTCGATGCTATCAATGAAAGACAATCGAATGGGAATGCATGAAACTATTCCAAAATGGCGGCACGTTTGACTTATTGATTAACCGTTATTCATTGCTTGGGCATTAAAATTAATAAACGTTGCCCAATGTATGTATATATATATACATATATACGTACAACCACAGCAGCAACAACAACGATAATAATAACAATAACAATAACAATAACAATAACGCAGTGCCCGAGCACTTGCGTACAAACCAGCAACCACAACAATACCAACTTTGTCTCGGAGCAATAAAAAATGCCAAGTATATCCACAAAATAAGAGCAATAATATTTAATAAATGTGCACACACACATACACACACTCACACAATATGTTTTTACTTTGGTGGTTGAATACGAAAAACCATAAATAAATACATACACACACACACACACACACACACACACACACACACACACACACAACCACACACACATAAAAACAGCGAGCGAGAAATAAGCGCATAAAAAGATTAAAACGTGTTGGCATCTCTGTGTATATATACATACATACATAGGTAGGCAGGCAAGCTTTCTGTGTATGTGTGTGTGTTATGCCCTTTTGGCTGAATGCTTGAGCAAGGCGAACAGGCGAGCGGGCGGCCTGTCCGACTGGGTGGGCATGGGCGCGCAGATAACTTCCGCATCCCTGACATCCCCGCCTACGCTAACCCCCGACATCATTTTCCGTGGCATTTCGGTGAAAAAGAATGCTTTTGATCTTCACAAGCGAATGATTTTTAATATGACTTTTTGCTGCTGATGACGCTGAGGTCGTTCGACGCGTCGCCTAACAGGGCTGCTTTCAGCTCCAAAATATGTTCACCAAATGCTTGATTCAGGCACCGAGGCAGAGACGCAGCGAGTGAAGTGAGCACAGACAGTCAATCAGTCGATGTCCTTCCGCCCAGAGTTTTTTAGTCCGCTTCTGCATATAATTAATCAGCTCAATTAAATGGCAATGTAATGCACTTTGTAACACACACAAAAAACACATACAAACACACAGAGAGGACAATCACATATGCGCACACATACACAAACCCACACAGATGCATAACCGCAGCGCCTAAAATTAGGCTAGTTCAAAGGGTCTCATTTGCTCTTCGCTGAGGTTGGGTGGATGAGCGGGGTACGGGTGGCATTTGGGCACAGGCATAATGATGGTAATTTGTTGGTTTGGCCAAAAGAGCAAACGGCACGCTTGGAATTTCAATTAATTTCCATAATTTCCAACGCTTTATGAACGAATAGAACAGAAGCAAGGCGAGGCGAAGCGAGGCAAAACAAAGCAAAGCAAAGCGAATGCGTCGCGATTACGAGGGTGTTTTTTGTTCAGCCAACAAAGCTGAGCTGAAACCGTTGGAATCAAGGGCTCCTGTCTGTCTATCTGTCGGACCAGCCCCTTCCCTAATGTGCGAGCGTGAGTCGGTCCCAAGATGACCACGACCTTAAGGTGAAAGTTGTCCTTCTCTCCTCATCATTACCGTTAGCATTATCATTATCATTGGAGAATAGTATATGCTAGTTGCAAGCCAATTTCATTTAGACAATACGGACAGCTCAGGCTTTAGGCTAAGACAGCCTAATATGCTAAACACGCAACGAAAACACGATACTCAGGTGTGCAAGGAAATCTCTAATTAGAGAGCTGAGGATAAGCTTTTTCCTTCAATAAATAATATGTACTATAATATTTATTATGTAATAGTAAAGTAAACTCTTATACGATGTTGCGAAGATGCTCGCCCTCAAAAGTTGACTTTTAACTGGCAGATTTATCTGTAAAAATGCTCAAAGCTTAGTGTACAATTTTATTAGACATTAACAATATTAATTTAAATAATCCTATTGAATTCATAAAATTAGGTTAAGGCTCAGTTCCATAAGTTTTGTTTAGAGCTTCATATCGAATTTTATTATTTAAAATGTAAACACGAGTACGAAAAATGTTATATTTTTATTAATCCCAGAATAGATATAAAAGAAATGAAATTGAAAGACCATTCTCTTCACAAATATATT